GTTACACGGAATCTAAAAACTAACGTTAAGGAAAAACACAGACATTTTTTAGTGAACAAAATATAATTATTTATTACTGTATTGCTGAAACTGTTGTCCTTGTTGTCAGATAAATAAAGCCACAATAAACAGCATGGATACGCAATAGATTTTCAAACTCGAAAACTAAACAGAAAATCGAAAAATTTTATTCTACAGTCGCGTCCGCTTTTACATATTATTTGAACTCTGTATATGATATATATATATATACATATAACATATATATATCTATAAAATACATAATCTATTAAATACATAAAAATATATTAAGAATACAATAAAAACTAAGCATCTAATTTTACGGCTCTATATTAATAAATTATATTGTTGTTATAGAAATAATTTTACGCACGTTTATGAGAAACATTATATTGCGTGTACATTAATTTCTAAATACAAAACACTTCATCGAAGTTTTATCAGCTTCATCTCGTCAGTATACGTGTCATTCAAAAGTGACGTAAATAAAAGTATTTATTATATATGTGAAAGAGGACACGTGTCTTTTTTCATCGTACTATTATACATGGTGAAAGCATTTATTATGCGTAGTGAAAGAAGACACATCTTCCTCTACTATGCTATTACGTATCTTTGAACATCTAGAATAAAGATAATAACAAAGAGGTTACGTTTATATTTGTTTATACTGTGCAATAATACTTACATATGCATAAAAATTCCGCCAGAATAAAGTAATCTACTCTAGATTATCTGCATATACATACATTTTATTCCGTCACTCAATACTTGTTGATATGTATATACTTAATTCTTTAATGTATGCATGTACGTATCATACAATATAATTCTCACAAAGTTCCTAAAGGATCTGTAGAAATAAACTATTTTTGAAATTCTTGGGAAGAGTATTAAACGCGTGTTTCGTGCGACAAGAATTCAAATTACTAATCGAAACTGCGGAAACTATGACGCTACAGACAGCACTGGCACCATTATTAATCATTGGCTCGTTCTGCAGTTTGGGCTTGTTCGAATATCCTCTTGGAAAACCAAAGCCGCGTCTCTCTTGCCTGTATACCTTCATCATATGGAGCTGCTTTACGTATTTGTTTTACTATCCATATTATGTCATATATTGGAAGAATAAGATATACGATCTTCGGGACATCATAACAACTTTCACCGCGATTACATCTATATTTCTTAGTCATTATCATTTTAAGGTAAAAATTTTTTAATGTACTCTATTAATCTCTAATATTATTTAATTTATTAAAATTTTTTAACTTTTGTTTAATCATTTTCTTTATTGAAAGTATTAAAGAAGTCTTAATCTCATCATAATTACAGAGAAATACAAAAAATTTATAAAAAGTTTCTGAACAGATCAACTTAAACGTTTATATTATTATTTATTGTAGATGAAATATGTTGGAAATATTTTGGAAACATTAATATTTGTAGAGGAAAGTTACCGATACTGACATAAGTCTAAAGTGACACCCTCCTTATTTCTAAGAAACTAACTATTGCACTTTATTAATACTAATAAAATCATGAACTATTTAGCTAATTAAAGAAGTACAAACTGATAATTCGTATATTTGTGGTTTGTTTCTATATCAAATCAGTTAAAAAAAGATGAGCTGCTACAGCTAAAAATTATGGCAACTAAATTCTGTAGTATTATATGGATACACTTAACGTTGTATCTTCGAAATCTAATTTCTATTAGCTGTGAGACCTAAGTATTATCATTGTAACAGACAAGCATTTTGCTATTATGTCGATGTATTGATCATTGCAGCAAACGTATCCCCTGTAGCAATTTGGTAGCAAGTACAGTTTTAGCGAACCATATTTAGCTGTGGTAGAAACAATTTTTTTTTTACACGGACATATCCGATAATTATGACAAGTAACTTCATGTTACTGAATAAATTGACTGTAATAGATATATTTTGCTATTACGTCCTTATATTAGCAGTAAATCCTTTGTATGTATTAGCAAAATTTCATTGTTTCATTGTAGCTAATGCAATTTCAATCAGCTAATGAAAATTAGCTGTGATCAGAAACATTCTTTTTCCGTACAAAAAAAAATTCTTACGATTTTCTTTTGCAAATTGCATAGTTTAAATAATAGTGACTATATATATTAATATTACGTTGTTTTAAAGGCTTGTACTTTCCTAAGTCGAGTTTTATTTATATTAATTTTTTCTTTTAGTTTTTTTATAGTACGATTTTAAATTTAACATTGGAATGCAGCGTAAATCGTCATACCTGCGTCTAAAATAGACCGTCAACTAACTTAATCCTTATAATGTTGCTTTACAGTATCAAATAGCTTTATTGGAGCTGAAGACTCCAATCGTGCATATGTGGAAAAAGTCTTGAAAAACTATCGCGTTACCATATTTCCATCTTGCAGAACAGGATAAAGTAAATATACATATAATTCAATAAAAATGTTTTATAACGAAGTGAAAAGATTCTGGAAAATCTTATATGCTTTAGACAAATGTTTAATTTTAATTTTAAAGTGGGCGCCAAAACTGATATAGTAGGCAATAATATGTATTCCTATCTGTTTTCTTTTATAGGAATTATTTGTATAAAGTATTTATATTTTCTTCTATAGATACTTTATACAAATAATTCCTATAAAAGAAAACAAATAGGAATACGTATTATTGCCTACTATATCCGTTTTGGCGCCCACATTTTGTCAGACTCAGTTTTGCTTATCTTATGAAAAAATTAATTATTGCAAAATTGCAAACAATAGGTAACTCCGGTATATAACTCCGGTACGCAGCATCTATCAAAAATTTAATTTAATAAGTATTATTTACTAGTTTATAGTAAACGAACTATATCAATAAAAACTTTATATTGTCTACTACTGTGAAAAAAATATTTGAAATCCGAAATATTTATTTTTCATATTAAAAAACAAACTTTGTGAAAACCCTTGCATTTTTGTCGTGCATTTTATAAGGATGGGATATTTTGCTATTTATAGGGGGATATGTACGGCTCAACAAAATAAATTTGCACAAAACAAATGATGCATATAAATAAATTATAAAATGACACAATAACTTATAAAATGAGTTTATAAAGTTATATCAAGGAATAAGATAAATATGTATATAAAGTAAAAAAAATAATTACAATTTTCTCACATGTATTACAAGTGTTATGACATGAGATACGTATTTTATATAATGCGTTTATTGCATTTAGTGCACTGAATTCAATCTGCATCTTTGTATGCTTTAGGCATAAATCCCGTTCGCTAAAAATGCCGTACATCCCAAACTGGAGTGAGATATATAAGACAACAAACTAAAAAAAAGAATATGAAAGCAAAGCACTTGTATTTTGTTACACATATGTTACTATTTTACTACACGTATATATCACGAAATAACTACTAAGTCTTTTACACGCCTTACATTAATCATTTAATGTAGATTATAATTTATAATGCCGTTATTTATTACAGTGACAAATCAATTCAACTCACAATAATTTCATTAATATTAAGAAGCTGAATCATAATACAATACTAATATAACATAAAGGCATGTAACAAAGCAGTTGCAGGAAAATGATCCCCATTCCTTCTACTTTTCCTGACTTCTGCGGCATAAATCCCAGCGCGACGTATTTGCCGGAGTTATCTTATTATAAAAACTACTTATACTATCTGATAAAAGATATTTTTTAATTTGTACTTATGTTTTTAAAGTTTTATTTTTACCTTTTGTTTAAGAAATATTACCTAAAAGCAAGGCGTATTGGTATTGATGACTTTCCTCTATTACTTTCCTAAATTAACTTTTAACAATAGCTTTTTTAAATCTTATGTTTCAAATACTAATCAAGTTTTCAATAACCTTTTATCTATCCTATTATCTATATATACATAGCAATAACGCTTTTTATTCAAATATACAATAATAATATTTTATTTATATATCGCATAATAAATCAATTTGATTTTTTAAGGAATTCAGAATGTGCTTGCATGAACTTTCCTTAGAAGACAATACATTGGAAGCACTCGGTACTCCAAAGAAATATCAACAGCTACGTAACTGGATAATTCAAATAATAATCGGATGGATTGCATTCATTTTTTTTAAGTTATTAACAATAGCTTTTAGGCTTAAATTTGTTTTTAATGAACCTATGAATTACTATACAATTCTTGAAATATCTCTAACAAATTATCCGATATTTGTAAATATCTTAAATGGTCTGATTTGGGGAAGTATCCTTGGGTTAGTATACACGATGTTCCAGAATGACCGCCAAATATTTTGTGTGCTGATAGAGCGAACTAAACTGAATCGAAAAGTCCTCTATCATTTTGCAATTTTCGCAGTAATTAATTTTAATCAGATGTTAATTACTAAAAATCGTCGAATATTGAAGTTTTTAATAATTTTTTACTCATACACAATCAACTTTACAGAAAAACAAGTGACAAAAATTGTTTATTTTCCTTTCATAGATTTTTGACAAGGCTGCAGAGTCACTGATTTCAATGAAATTTGGAAGAATTGTAGAGTGTTTCCCTGAACAAAAATCAATTCCCATTTGGGCGTAGACGGTTACTGTTTCTGAGATATTTCAAAATTAAAGATGATAATGGCATTTTCTTTAGAGTTTATTAGAACATTTATATTTGAGTATTTGTAGTGTATAATAACAATCTCCTCACACGCAGCATAGAATTTACAGCAATATCAATGCAATATCTTTGCAATATTGTACAAAAATAGCACCAACACTACTGCAGCATTGTAGCAATGTTGCAGAGATTTTGCAGCGATATTATTGCAAATTCTTTGCTATGTAGAGGTTATCCACTATCCTACAAATAATCGAATATGAACATTCTAATAAACTCAAAAGGAAATGCCGTTATAAACTTTAATATTGAAATATCTCGGAACCCCTAGACCGTCTACACCCAAATGGGGGATGGTTTTTATTCAGGAGATCATACTCTACAAGTTTCATTGAAGTCGGTAACGGTCACTTCGGAATCTGCCTTTGTGAGAATTTTTTCAGAATTTTTTAGTATCGTATTTTCTCATATTGAAAAAAAAGTTGCCAATACGAAAATGCAGTACTAAAAAGTTGATAAAAAATTCTCAAAATATTATATAAAATTTAATAAAACATAAAAAACAAGTAACAAAACTTTGTTTAGTCTGACTTTGATTACTTATTAATAACGCAAAAAATAAATTAAAATATATGTATGTAATGCATATATCTTAATTTTAATAAAAGACAAAAATAAATCTCTTTTATTCAGATACATAAGCTCCAGATTTCATCAAGTCAATAATCGTTTACAAATATTCTGCTCTGATCTTTTCGAAAATAATGCAGGTAGAAGAGAAAACAGATGTATTTTAGTGAATCAATGGAGAACGAGAGTTAAGGATTGTAAACAAAATATATGGATTATAATGTAATTTTTTAAAAAGATATACGAACGCATATATGTATATAGTGTACCTCATTGTGTAATATCTCAAAAAGTAGATTTTTAAAAAATGTTTTTGAAAGTGGAACGATTCGGGAGGGAGGAGGCGTTGATTAATTTTTTTTAAATAGACGACAAAAAGATATGATAGTTCCATTTTCGTTTTTTTAAAATAGAATTTTATGATTTTTTGTACAATGATTCCTCTAATCATTCTGCATATAAAAGTATTAAAATAGAGATATCAATAAACCATTAATTTATGAGATATTGTACAGGAGAAACCTGAGATAATTGGTACATGATATACATATAAATATATTACCTACTTTTTTTATATTGCTGTAAAACAACAAATGATAATATTGCATAAAAAGTGTACTATTTCCACAAGACATTGTGGCCATTATGCTGCAATAAGTTATTTTCAAATTTTTTATACCGGAGACCATCCGTACACCCCTTTTCGGAAAGAGAACATTTTAGAAAAATTTGATTTCGAGGATACATAAGATGATGGCATTGATTTGATCTTGAATAATCATTTGAAAGTCATATGAAAGTCATGTTGATTTTTCCAAATGGATGATTTTTTTCATGTACTCTATTTCTCATTCGATATTTTAGTAGCTTATCTCGAGAGCTTTCCAAAATATTATAATCAAATATTTTTTTATTAAGAACTTTTTGAGTTATAAGCCTTGAAAGTTACAGTACGGCATTAGCATTATGCAATGTCAATGATATAAGTTTACAGAGTATTAAAGAGCCAATCGGAGAACTTGTTGCATAAAATTATTTTATTTATCTTAATGATAATTACATGAATCTGATATTCAATCCTCTTCTTTTAAATTCAAAATCTTTACTCACATGATGGTTAGAAGATCTTTTTAAAATGATCTGTTTCCGAGATGAAAGTACGGTGTACGGATGGTATCAGACATTAGGTGTATATATATAATGTATGTATGTGTGTGTGTATATATATATATATATATATATATATATATATATATATATAGAGGGGGCATGCAGAGTAA